GACAGTGCAAGGGGTGTTGAGACGGACCCATTGCAAATCTCAGCTTCCACCCATGGTAACGTGTAAAGGTCCTCATTTTATAGAAATGTAATAGTCGCTAAGTGCACAGCACGAGCGCGTAGCGGTAAGATAGAGATGGCAAAACAAAGACCCTGAACAAACATTGGAATGACCGTAGGTGGCCAGGGGGCTGCTCAAGGGATTAATAATCCGGTGCTGGAGGTTGAATTTGGTTTTAGACTGCCGACGCTTAAACCACGTTGCAGGCGCAGTGCGTTGATGATCTCGCTGTGGTCACAAAGGACTGCACCAACAAACAAACAAAAAAGCCGTCACGTAGAATTCTGTTTAACATTTTTAATTCGGACAATACCTGCTGGTAGGGTTAACGTTTCTAAAACATGTATTAAATGAGATAGCTGGCATGCAAAGAATGGACGCAGAATCATGTATGAGTGGGTTAAGAGAAGGGATTTTCCTTCACAATGTTGATTCTCTACTGCCCGAGAAAGTTACAAGTGAATGTGTCTTTTCCAACAACATTGGTATATTATATATTATACGAGGGGGTGGGTGACAGCACCACGCCCAGTCGCCTTTGTCCCCCCAGTGGTGATGTTTACACAGCACACCAGTTACCGGGTTTATAGAGCAGCGCGCTAACCACGACACGACAATGCGTCACAATTCCACATGCACGGGTCACGTGACAGATTTGACGTCACAGCTCACTTGCCGTGCAAAAAATATATGCATTATTGAGATCCCCCCCCACCCCAAAAAAGTGTATTTTTATAATTTGTGCATGGTGTACAGTCTGGAAAGTACCCACATGGCAAATTTCTAGTTTGTTGCACACCGGGAAGTACGCTAAACATTTTGAACAGACACATTCACAACTTTGCCTTTAATATATATGGAGATATAGACTATATGATAAAGCATTGAACTGCTACCCATTGTTAAGATAAACTGCAGCAAAGACGTTTCTATCCAGACTGCCACGAAACGACGACCCCACCCTTTAGGATGGGAACTATTAATTCAATAAGAAAAGAGATAGCCATCAAAGCCACGCGGCTCTCAACCACCGATGCACATTCTCAGAACTTTTTTTATGGCGATAGTAATTTCTCAAGTCGACAGATCTTCATGAACGATCCCTTGCAAGCTTAATTTCGCAAGTGCACAAGGTGAATACATAAACATGTGTAGTGACTGTGCTTGTCACTGTATGGTGCCGGGGCTTGCGAAGCCACGGCCGGTAATGTGTTGCCATTACGGGCAGCCCGAGGTTATGGGATGTAGTATCAGCCCTAGCGGGGTTTGGGTGAGCGCTGGTTAGAGCGGAGGCACAGCGAGCAGTGTGCGGTGCGGGCTCCCGGTGAGGGAACGAGGGAGCGTCAGCCAGCCAGGGTTACGTTGGGGCATGATGCGCTGGTTGACCTGCTGACACGTGACCGGACGATATTGGACAGGGGCCGCGGGGTGGTCACGTGGTCCAAAGGAACTCTCGGGAACCTTCGAGAAGGAGCCCGAGAGCCCTGGAAGGTGGGCGGGGCGAAGGACGGAGCCAGGCCTAGCCCGGGGGCATATAACGAGGGCTCCGTGAGGAGCTCGGGGTTCTTCGTGTGCCGGTGTTACGAAGATCCACGTCGGGGAGAAGAAGCCTCTAGCCACGTGGTCCGGGACCCCGTTTGTGGTCCGGACCGGGATAGCGAACCGGGTCTAGTTCTGCCGTAGCGTGTTTAGATGGGCATTCGAGACCCGGGTGTAGTTCGTGTTGTGTTACGTGTTAATGCAGGATAAATAGAGTTGCTCCCAAGATAACGTCTGCGACTCAGTTGGACTCACTACACATGCACAAATAAATGCAAAAAATTAATACGAATGTATGAAGGGGGAGGAGGGTGGAAATATTTCTTCAGCAATTACCAGAAACTAATCTCCATCTATATAGTATTTGCAGCTTTTTTGTTAACAAACTAATTAAGCTAATTTCCCACAAATCAGCAGGCTTGTAGGTTTACCACTGCGTCGCCTGCAGCCAAACGCAGCCGGGAAGAAGCTGGAACAAAAGTGGTACGCAGACGGCAGCTGATAAGAAGTGACGCTGAACCACGCGTGTGTGGTATAAAAAAAATCATGCACTGACGTGCCAATTTGTTTCGTGGTTTAGCACATTTAAGGCCCTCCCCTACATACACGAGGACTTTCCGAATTTTAAATAAGAGCTTCATGTTTTCTGTCCTTTTTGAATTACCGTCGACGTTAGAACAAAGTAACTTTCCACCGAAGCGACATTTGCAATTTAGCAATTTAAATTGTGAATGTTTTTTGTTTATACATTGCATAGGATGATTTATAAGGCAGCTCGATCTACCAGTGCACACTCGTATTGAGATTGGACTGAACATTTTTAAGGCACGATTTAATGGTAAGCGTGGACTGTAAAAAACTCGGTTAAGTATGACGCCTCGGTTACGCGGAATGATAATGCATCTGCTTCATTCATCAGCAAGTGTTGAGGTTGCAAATGTTAGAAGGTTGCTAAAATATTAATATTTTACGTCGATAGAACAACTACTCATATAAGAACATTTTTGCTGCTTTTGAACATTTCACATTATATTAAGTTTCATACTAAAATGTGACTTTCCAGTGCGTTACGCACAATGGGTAACCTTTCAATGTAGCTGTACTTTTCAATTTTGGTAACTCGTACACTTGGGACTAGACAAACACTGTTTTTTACAAACAATTCTAAATTTAAAACACAACTACTCACACATACATAAATGAGATGTGATAGCAAACAATAACGTACAGTCCTTAGTTCAGAAATGTATGGACGAAGAACTGCTCACGCTCTGAAGTCGCGACAGCCTACAAAGTGGCGTGTCGCAGAGTATCGACAAGGCTCGATAATTACAACTCACTACTCCACGGGACGTTTGGCAAAAACATTAAAAAAAGCTGCAGCGTGACGGGTACTGCAAGATACGACAACGTCCGTCCGGTGCTTGGTGAGCTGCATTGGCGTCCGGTTGCCGAACGAATACATTAAAAGGTCGCGCTTATTACACACAAAGTGTGTGCAACAAATCAACCACAATTCCTTGCTGATCTCGTTAAGAAGCATACACCATCACACGAACTCTGGCCATCCCTCACAGCGGCTTTTGGCTAGCCATCGAACAAAGACGGTCAACTGCATCGAGAGCTTTCAGGTGCGTTTCTGCAGCTGTCTGGAACGCTCTTCTGTCCAATATTAGGAAGCCACTGGAGCTATGGAAGTTTAAATCTAGATTGAAAATTCATTGCTCAAGAAATGCTTTTTGTGTTTAGTTTGTTGTCCTTCCCTCCTACCTCCGATTAGCACGGTTGACTATGTACGGTGCTAAAGAAGTTCAACATATTTTTCGATTTAAAGCTTTCGTGACTGCAGGGATTCATCTTCTTGGTTCTTTCGGTAAAGTCATGTAGAATGGAAATAATAAAGTAATAAAAATAAAACATAATAAAATAATTCTCACGACGTTTCGGCCACAACGCAAGCAACCGTCCTCAGGTGGAGAGCAGGTCTGTCGAGTAGACAGACTCATTCAGTCATTCAGACTGTCTACTCGACAGACGTGCTCTCCACCTGTGGACGGCTGCTTGCGTTGTGGCCGAAACGTCGTGAGAATCATTTTATTATGTTTTATTTTTATTATTGTATTATTTCCATTCTACGTGACTTTACTGAAAGAACCAAGAAGATGAAGTTCAATATATATACATACACATCATGTTATTTGTGGGGGTTGTTTGACCATACATACTTCACCACGCTGGTCATTGCCATGTTGCTGAAATAGATAAAATAGATGAGGACCCTGGGTCATTTCAAATATCACGACGTTAGCATTGGCCAGGACTCAAATTCCGCTCATCAGGTTCATAGTATTGAGCGCTAACCATTGCACAACTGCCCCCTGAATCTGTATACAGGACTAGAATACATTACAAGAATGTAATGGAGACTGCTGAAAGTAGCCGGGCAGCATGACTGAGCACAGAAAGCAACACAGTAAATGTTTGTGGATGCTCTACAAAAGGCACAAAGTGATGGACAGCAGATCACGCTGCATCATCACCACAAACATCCCAACATGTAGGCTTAGCGGGCAGAGAGACTCGCTTAATTAAATGCGCAGTAAGCGAGCGTTCATTTTAACTCAGCAAAAATGTCATCATTCAGTTCGTACAATTTACTTAATTTCGAGGCACATTGATGAAAAATTAATTTTGGCATATGGCCCCAATTATATCAATTATATTAATTTATCTTGCGAGGTTAATGGTGCAAAACGCAATTATTCAAAACATGTTTGTGTTCTGGCGAAATGATCGCTTGGCACCATTAAGTTAGTGTGGAGATGTGGATCAGCGTTCCATTTAAACAGCAGCTGATCACTGGGAAAAGTTATGGATTTGCGTGAGCAGCTTTAAAACAAATGTTGGGAGGAATTATTATTAGAGAAAAATTAACTGCCTCGTAGATAAATCACAGCGTTAAATATTAGAGATTAAAAAAAGACTCCGTTGTGTGAAAGCGGAGACTAAATTTAATTAGAAACAGACACTTATGGTTTTCCTCGGGGAGGCCCAGGACAGGCTCAGATACCACCTGCCTCGAATGTTATTGACGGGCAAGACTCGTAGCCCCTGAGCTTGTAGCGCATTGCGCCAACCAATAAGTGCAGGCATGTAATGATGCATCAATGTTTTCCTACTTCTAATATTATGATGATATAAGCAGCAGCAAATTACACGTGTAAAAACAGATGTTAAAAAAAAAAAAATTCCTGCAGCCACTGCAGGTGCTGCCATTCACCCAATCGAATCGTGACCCCGAATTCGCGACAATTCATCCAATCACGGGGAGGACGAGGGCAATCGATCTGTGCATACGTACGTTGCAGCTGAACGTGTGAGAACAACGCAAAGAGACTCACCCAATAGCGGCATCCAGATGCTTAAACCAGTCATTGATGTCATCTTGGTCCACTGACATCAGGAGCAGCTCCTCCTTCTGGTAGCTCAGCTGTGGAGGACAGATAGCAACGGGGCAGCTGCGAGGCCCCGCTATTTTAACGCCGACTTTCCCACGTGCCCTGGCGCGCCTCTCGGCTGGAAGGTGACCGCCGAATGCACTGCACACCACCGCACACCCAGTCAGCCTGGGCCCAAACTGCACCTTCGATAAAGCATGGTTGGCTACGTATGGCGCGAAAGAACTTCAACATACATGCACACATACATACAAATATACTCCTGGGCAAAAACCCTGATCATAAACCAACATTTGTTTTTTTATACGTGTGTTCATCAGTATAAATAATAATTCGTGTAATGTTTTTTTTTTACTGGCATCGACACCTTTAAAGTGGTCAGTTGTGTTAAAGTCAAGTAAAAGTGTCAGGTGGGCCGGTTGATTCAGGGGTCAGAGCAGTGAGTCGGTATCGCTGAGAACCCGAGTTTGTATTCAGGTGATTCAGCCACCGGAACTTAGCCGGCTTCTCAAGCGGAGCGAGCTGCTCTTTCCAGCCCCGTCACCAAGACACTGCGACAAATAATAATCGTGACATCGATTTTCACTTACTTATTCTTGTCGCGAGGGTTACAAATGTCGTTTGGACATGGAACAAAGCCTCTTCAAAAGGAATTAAAAGGCACGAGGGTAGAGAAACCTAATGAAGCAACTTACGAAGTAGTTACGTGGTGATGCACCATCTTCTGTGGCTTTTGTCTCGTGACACGATGCCAACAGCGCGATTGTAATGTAACCGAACAAAGTGAAGTAAAAGTATCTCCCTGTCCAAACCGTTTGGTGGTGGCCATCTGAAATAACAGCACTGAGCTTGTGGTGACAATTCCACATTCCTGTCGTCGGGCACAGGCGTACGCTTGGAGAACCGCTGTTGTTAATAACCCGATGTTAATGATGATGGATGCAATCTCCAGCCAAATGGATAAAATTGCTTGCTTTTCAACATTCCTCCGGTTTGCTGAAAAACCGAATCAGATTTGTCCAAGTGACAACTTGATCTGTCGCGTGGTGGTCGGTTACAGTGACGAATTGAAATGATACCAACACGATCACTACCCAAAACAATCCAATTATGAATCGTAATATCGGATAGGGAAAGTCTACATATACAATTGTAGTGGACTGCAATATACATACGAATATGCTTTGTGCCAAGACATAGATTCAAGCTAAATTCGGAAACAGCTTATCTTCACATCTTCCAGCGTTAGGTAACACCAACTGCTAGTTAATTGAACACTCTAATTTGAAAGCAATGTCACTGGCTTCATCCCCCAGATTCCACCCACCGGCACGGGAAATTAAAAGACATTTAACTTCCCAGGAGACGAGGGTGTAAGGCAGGGCCGGTGGGCCCCCCCGCACTCTCGCATTTCCCCTGGGCGTCCTAAACAGGAGTAAACGCTAAATACTCCCACACCGTCAACACCACTGATCAATACGTGCTGCATAATAAACCCGAATGCAAAGCCTCTTCCACATCGCATTAAGCCCACCACGTAAGGCCAACTGCGAATGCGAGAAATTTCTGTGCGCAGACTCGCACAACTGTGCGGCTTCTCGGGTCGTTACCGCCTTCCGTTCGGCGTAATGTCCGACGCTTCGCTCCACGTGCTGAAAGCTACTTCAGGAGGAGAGCTGGAAGAGGTTGCCACCGCGCGGAGCGCAACGTCGGACATCGCAGCCACAGGACGCCACGCCGAAAGCCACGCGGCACAACCCGAGAACACGCAGCAGAGCGAGGCAGCACGACCGCGATGAACCTACGCGGGAGTAGCGCACGGTCGTTCCCTTGACAAGAAGATGAGTAGCACCCCAATGCTCGTTTTAAGAGGGAGACACTGACCTTCTATGTATTTGACACAGACAACTCATGCTATTTACCTATGCAGTTTGAAAAAATTACGCGATTTAAAAATATGTTCGGATAACAGTATTACGACAACCAATTCTGTTAATTGTTTTTCAAATTTTTGGAAAGCAAACTGCATGGAATAACATCTCCGTGCCAAATTGTTGAAAAATTGTGCACATACACAAAGATTTTAGGCACTATAAATAAATAAAAATGAAAGTGCTTAAGAAGTTAAACAGTTATTTACGTGGGAAAAAAAACGAAAGTCTGCACCACCTAACCAGAATTCCTGGCGCACAACTGGCCTCGTGCGGACTACAGTACAGCATCACACATCTCATTGTCACATATCCGCCCGGACCAATTATCCGACCCGCACACAAGGTGCATGATATGTCTATGGTGTTGGTATTCCGACCTTTTCGCACAGTAATGTATTCCTAATCTCGTGTACGTCCACTCACTACTAAAGCACCATCCAACGATTAAAGCAGTTGGGAGCTTCACTCTTGTCCAGTGCCCACAACTCGTGCATGGTGCAGCTGTCATTTTTCTACAGACGTTCAAATATCCGACCTTTTCGGATATCCGCCTAAACCTCATTCCCCTCCCCAGCGAGTCGGCTACGCGACGTTGTGGTGATGGCGGACTTGGTCGCGTCAGCGATGCCTGTGAAGCGGCTCGCTGCTCGAGCGTGGCGCTGCGTGGGAGACGACTCACGTTGACGAGTCCCCCTTGACTCTGGGTATTGCCAAACACCTTCTGGACGGAGCAGTCGGCGAGCGGATAGAAGGCTCGGCACTCGTACTTGTCGGCGTGCAGCGGGTGGAACTGGCTGCATCGGCTGCACATGAGCAGGAGGTCCGAGAAGAGGAAGAACATCTTGGGGGTGGGGTCGCCGCCCTTGCTCGGCACGCGAAGGAGAGTTCCCTCGCGCAGATAGCGGCGGCCTGCTCGCAGATTTGTACGGGCACGCACGCACGCACGCAGGCGTTCATGTACATTAAAACTAATGCACAAAGACAACGATCACTCGTGTAGCTTTAGCGGACTGTTAGGGCAAGTGCTGTTAGTGAGCACCTACGAAGGGCAACAAGGCACACTAGGGGATGAGTGGCCAACACCACGCACGGCCGCCTTGGTCTCCCTGGTGCATATGGGACACAACACGTCAGGTATTCATTTTTGGCTGAGTCGATTGAATGCAGGCTCAGGACCATGTGAATACAAATACATGATCACACACACACTGAAATATACATGAATATGGACACAAATCCAAACAGACAAACGCATCAAGACAAACATCCCCTTATAGCCGTAAATACTGTTGGAGCGTGTGCCGTCAGCAAGCGCCTATTAAGGCCAGCATGGCACACGAGGGGGTGATGTGATCGGCAATCATGCACAGCCACCATTGTCTTTTCATTGCTGACGTGTCCAGACTGCACCAGGCAGCACTGTTTTACACGCTCACACGCCCGAGCCACAGCTCTGGAGCCAAAGTTTTGGCGCATCGTGAAGATTTGTGAAACTCTAATACCGCCACACGGCTGTAAAACGGCCGAATTGGCCAGGAGATGGTGCTGCAGTTAGTGGATTTTCTGACCCATTTGCGCAAAACGGTGGGTGTAATTCTGTCGGCATGCTAGTTCCTTCCCGTATCAAAATGACCAATTAAACAGAAGCGGGCCAAACGTCTCAATGCAGCATCGCCGTGAAATATGAAATATTCTACAGACTTAATGTGGTTTCCGGAGATAAATAATCCATGAATGCAAAAAAAAATTGGAGGTTCATAAATCAAACATTCAAATAAGTGCATTATCATGGCCACACCAAAACGTGTATTAAGCTACACAGGCAGCTGTGAGCGGTATTCGCGAGTGCCTGTCAAGGAAAATATCACAACAGACACCTTCCATCAAAACAGAAAAAAATGCCAAAACCATAACTGTCTTTATGAGCTATTTATTCTCAGGTCTCCATTGCTTCACATTTCATGAGATGTAACACATCTGGAGTGCTCGTGCTAATGCAGAGTTCAATGTCAATGTATTTGGTGCTTCAGTTCAGAACGTAGTCAATGCTTTGCTTCTGCTTTGCAGGACTCGGAGTTAATTTTGGGGAAATTCCACCAACACTTCAATCGGCATCACGACCAAAATCAATTGCTGCCACGGCTGATGTGTATTTCATAAACGAACACGCGCACAGAGGCGGGCTCGAACAAGCTGTAAAGTGTCTTTGCTCGCCTATACAATGATTAAAATCTATTCCTCTATTACGTCTAATAAATATATAATGAAGACTAATTAGCCAGTTAGAATTTATTAAAAAGCAATTCCGAAGTACAACTGTTCAGTTCTGCTGCGAGATGCAGTTCCACTCTGAAAATGACTTCAATTTGCCTTGCCTGCAATTTCAGGCTAATGGTGCAGAGCGAATGCACAATGTTTGTTTTTAATCACACTTTGTAAAATCATCCCAAGCAGAACTGATTACACTGAAGCAGCGGGGCTGGAAGTAAATGAGATAAGTTGAGGCAACACGCTGCGACTGCGATCTTGTTTTCATCTGCGCCCATGACACCTACTTTAATATACAGCGGCAAACTGCAGATCAACAGCGAGAGCCATCAATCAGTTTTGTGACAAAACACAAAAATAAACCTTTTCCCCACAAATTGCTGCTTTTTTTTTAAATGAGATCTGCTGAGAATCAGCTAATGGCAAGCTTTCCCAAGCGATCAGATGACTGAAAAATGAACTTGTCTCTGTCGAGCACTGGGATTCAATCCCCTGACAACGGGCAACGTCTTGTGTTGCCTCGCCGCTAGTTGTCGCAAGGTTTATTAAACTTTAAAAGCGCGCGTGGATAATTTGCTTCCGTGCAGAAGGGACAGGCGCATCCGAAAAAATAAACTTCCCCTGGTAAAAAAATCTCTCCGCTTCGCGCAGCAAATTGAAATGGCAACTTTTCAAGATCTGCAAATAGAGTTTTTTTTCCGGCACGCGGTCTTTACGAAGAACTGTAATCAGTGCCTGCAAGGCCAGAAACTCGATCGCTGAAATGTGTCTTCCAAAACATTGTGTTTGGTTCTATTTTTTTTTGACCCACGCACACAGATACGCGCCGCGCTTGCTTCTAACGAGCTGACTCTGCGGCGTCTTCGCGGAGATTCAATTTGCGTGGTGAAGTGAGGAGCGCCAATGTGCGTCATAGCTGCAGATTTTTCTTTTGTCTCAATTCCCAAATTAGTCGACACACAACAAAACAACCCCCCTACCCCCCCCCACAAATTTACTATAAATACCGCAATGCAACGCGACCTTAATATCATGCAGGAAATTCAATAAAACATTCCAAATGTATAGTCTGTATGGAACAATAACAATAATATAATGGCAACCAAGATACGGAGTGCTTCGAGGGGACATGAAACAGAAAGATGGAGCAATGGGGATGGGTGCATTCCAGAACTGTGAGTGAAAGATGGAAACGACTTAGAGTGGCTTTCATTCAACAGTGGATTGATCGTGGCTCCTGACGATGATGGAGAAGAATGTCCAGATACAAGGTACCCACCGACACCTTCCAAAACCCATGTTATGCAAGTGCCGGAGTATGAAACGATCCAATACAGAATGTGTAGCTGCTTGCAAATACGTTGTTGTTTTGGTTGACTGTCAACTACACTTGTTCGTCTTTGCAAATAAATTTGCATCACTTAGGTTCTGATTTTACACGCCGTGTAACAACTATTCACCGCTGAAATTTAACGCAGCCGCTCGGTCAACAAACTACTACACAATCTAAAGTTTCTCTCTTTTAAAACAGAAAATTTGGCGTAAATTATTTTGAAACTATTCTTTATGAGACTGCAATTGACAAATGCATCTGTACTACGTTTATCATCCTCACCACCAATTTAAACGCACAGATAGGATCACTTAATGGAATTCATTTCAAATGTGTTTTGGAAATTCATAATGCACGCAACGATCACCAATAATAACCTCAAATGTAATAATATTCACTCATTTGCAGGTGCTGGAGTAGCTATCAAGTCATCATGAATCAATTGTAATTTGTGCGTGTGACATGTATTATTGAATCCATTTTCACGTGCAGATAACATTCATTTGGTAAATAAATATGGATACATTTGTTTGATTATTTTGTTGATTTCGTTTTTTTATCGTGACATCTTTGCGGAGTATATGGTGCTCATTATTTGACTCTTGACTTCTCTAGCAATTAAGGTTATTTGTTTTACTCTCTATCTCTCTAGAAATTAAGTTTTGTGTGAATATTCAGTTTATAGAGGTGCTGCATTTGTGTAGTACAGTAATTGCAGCCGACCAGAGGGCTGACTTCACAGCCATTAAGCGTTTAAATCAAGTACAGAGAAGACTATCATTTTATCAGTGGTGTACTATGGACTCACTCCGGCCATGGAAATATGAAATTTTCCATCGCTGTGTTGAATTTCCATCGCTGGGCTGCAAATAGGAAATTACTTCAGTAGCAAACAACGGTTTCTCCCCTAATTGTACGAGTAAAAAAAACCCCTTGCTTATTCAGTATGTGAAGTCTGAAAATGTTCAATTTACCAAAAGGATTAAGGCCTCCCTATGTCATATTGTTACGAGGGGAGTTTTATCCATACTTCACCACGCTGGTCAGTACAGGATTTCGACAGCAAATTTAGTATATAAGTACCAAACTTTTATACGATTGTCATGAGGCTTTGCCATACATGGCTGTTAGCAAAGAAACACGACAATAGGTAATATACTTTATTTGCAAAAGCATATTCCATCATTCACGCAACAACTCAAAGAGTGACTCCGCCACATTGAACACCGCACAACTACACGTGTGTTCTCTCTCTAGGCAATTGGACCTGGTAACTTTTGTTCAGTATTTTTTAAAATCTCGTTCTTAACTGGGCCATGCAAGCCAGTGCATCAGGTGAGCCTCCTACCTGGATTTGTAGCCAATCTCACCAAATGAAAGCATTCACCTATTTTTTCGTTCCACACCAGAGTGAAGCTCTCTCACCGCAGAAACCGTGGCCAATCGCGCACAAAACAGTTCTCATCTCATGGGTAATTACCCAAGAATATCACACGTGATAATGGAACACTGACGACCAGAATATCCCATTATTGTTGAAATGTGGTCTTTATAATTGCGATACTGTGAATGTAAAACAAACATCACCAAAGCGGCTAATGAATTGTAAAAGGCTAAGGTGTAGAATCCCAAAGTTAGCATGCTATTTCGCTCGGGGCCAAGTGAAAAGTATTGCATAATACACTCATCCACGTTGCCCTACAGCTGCCCCAGAATCCCCTGGGGCAGAGCAGGTGATTGTGAAAGGGTGTGAGCATGAACAATTGTGGTACTGAAAGAGAGCTCACATTAGCTTCCACGTGATTCACAAGCAAGGACAACGGACTGTCCATACACTCGCGCAATAGCGTAGGCGAGCAAATGGATAAACCAGTGCACAGAAGCACACAATTGTGGGACTGAAAGAGAGCTCACATTAGCTTCCACGTGATTCACAAGCAAGGACAACGGACTGTCCATACACTCGCGCAATAGCGTAGGCGAGCAAATGGGTAAACCAGTGCACATAAGCACACGCGTGCGTACGCTAACTGAGATGCCGGGTCGTCTCAGTCAGTCAACCCATGGTACCATCTGTCCTGTGACCTCCTGCCAGCAAGCGTTCAACACTTCACATGGCCTTAAAGTGCACATCGCCTGGCACAAACGCGCGTGGTGACGTCACCGCCACTTAGTGGCGAATGGCGGTTTTTGTTGTTGTACGCAAGAGAGAGGACGACTGGATAGAAGTCGTGATATGTTTTAACGCGAATAAAACGAATGTTTTTGAAGGTATTTATTATATTTTTTCTGAAATAAATGCTCAAAG